CCATGGAAGAGCCAATTTCAAGGATAGTGTTGGGGATATCATGATTCATATTTTATATCTATCTACGGTGGTAAAAATAGGACATAGAGTACCTACATTATATTCGACGCAAAATCCTGACTAAGAGTCAGTAAGTTTCAATTCTGAATCATCAGAACACTGAGTATGTAGGTACTGTTAATATTAATTTACATAATTGTAAATGTCTTGTACATTTTAAAATAATTTACTTAAATTATCTTACGAAACAAGTAGTTAGGTGATGAAATCCTATTGTTTGTAAATTATGAAATGCCAGAATACCTATGATTTCGTCACATCGCCTATTAGAAAAATAATAATATTAAATGGACCGAAATGCAAAAAAAACTATGATTTCGTCTCATCGCCTATTGGAAAAATAATAATATTATGTACCTACCAGGATATTGACCACCTTCTCAAAGTTTGTCCGAGATATGCCCGACAAAGGGAGACACATGTAGCCCTATGTCATCACTTAGACGTGTCTCCATTCGACATACCAGCACTAACAAATAGTGAAATAGCAATTAAGTCTTTCGCGGAATTCTGTAAATATATTGTAAATACCCTTAAGGAATATAATGATACATAGTCATAAAAATTCATAAATAAAAAAAAATTAAAAAAAATATATTAAAAATATTAAAAAATAAATAAAAAAATTAATTATAATAACAAAAAAAAAATTAAAAAAATAAATATATATATATATATTAAAAAAAAAATATAATAATTAAAAAAAAAAAGATCTTATGTAAATATAACCATCATCATCATTTGCAAATATAACCATCATCATCATTTGTAAATATTGTCTCGCATCAATGTCTTTTTCAGTTTGCTCGTAGAAAATTGCGAGAAACTATCCTACTCTCTCAAAACTTAATAAAAGTAACCTAATAATAACAACATCCAATTAAAAAAAAAATGATTCTGGTAGCAAAATACCAGTTAAAAAAAAAAAAAAAAAAACTACTACTATTTTTTCTTACATTTTGGCAATTAGGTCAAAGGCTAAACCAATTATGGTGAGTTTTTGTAGAGACAATTCCCATCTGTAGAAATAAAACACAAAGTCAGTAAGTATAGGGAAATTTAGTGCTTTTAGAAATACCTATATTGTGATTTTGGGGGACATTCATATAAAAAAGTCATTTCGTGACAGAAATCAATGCGGATGAAGCTGCGGGCTGAAGTTGTTAAAAAGTACCCGTAAAGCAGAAAGGGGAAATCATGAAACTGATTAATTTCCCTAAAACTTTCGGAACACCTACACCACCACAGTATCTACCTACCACATACCTACTACCTATTATCTGGAGATTTTCAGTTTCATGAGTATAACCATCGCTTTTCATCGATGTTATTCCTAAAATGAATCAACAAGGTATCACACGAAGAAAAATACAAGTTTTTTTCAGCCTCAAGTAATTTTTAAATAAGTGAGTAAATAAAATGATATTTTTTCAAATCATCGACTTTTAAGTAGATAGGTAGTAAAGTAAGGTAGTAAAGTATAAACATAACCCTCCTTCTGACGCAGTCGGGAAAAAAATGAACTAATTTGAATGTTATTTTTTCAAAATTATCGGCTTTGATTTCTAGTACCTAAACTAATAATTTGATAATATTTATCAATATTTATTGCTCTATATTTTAAAGAATTTCAAGTTCAATGAACTATGCTTAATATACGCAAATCACAAAAGTCATAAAACATAAAAATGCACTTGAAAATTCCGTTAAATAATGCAAGTATAAAATTATCTACGCACATTTATTTATTTATTTATTTATTTTATTGGGCTATCAACATGAGATACAGTATTAAACACAATTAAAAAATTAAGCCATTGTATTGTATTGTATTACATGTAAATACATTGTATTGTATGTTAAAATAATTATGATGCAGGAAAAAATTTAACGCACATACACTTACTCGTAGGTAGGCAAATCGTTTACTTTGTTCTTGTGGATAATTGTGATTCATCTTCACATAATTATGTAAATATTATTATGATTAGCTAGCTGTGCCCACGACTTCATACGCGTGAAAATAGTTTGAATAATACCTATTTCCCTTTTTGCAACATTTTTCACTACTTCTCTGCCTCAATTGCCTGTAGGATGATGTTTTATTATGTGTGGCCTTAAACCTTCCTCGATAAATGGGCTATCCCACACAAATTACATTTTTCTAATCGGGCCGGTCTTAGTTTTTGAGATTAGCGCGTTCAAGCAAACAAAATCTTCAGCTTTATGGTATTAGTATAGATAGATGACTAATGCCCATTATCTTACATTTTAGGTATTTTTAATTGATCGGTTTCCCGAGAATACGAGCAGGTGCTTACTGCTATTTCAGTTTAATTTGTTTTGCAAATTTTAAGTGCATTTACAACGAAAGCATTGTTTTGCCTTAAAGTAATTTCCGAGGTAACAATTAAGAAGCGGATTAATGTTAACACTAATTATTAATTACGACAGAATAATAATGTACATCCAAACAACATTTTAATCAGAAGCTTTCACGCTTTATAAGCGCTAATTAGCCAATCAAATAGCTTAACTCCAAGTAATTATCACCTTTAATTAAAATTGGCAGGGAGCAACTGAATTAAGGGTTAATTAGTGGAAAGAAGATGGTTCATACATGTGAGCCCTCTGCCGAGGCTGTGAACCGAGCTCATTTGTCAGGCTTCTGATTAAGTCATTATTTACTTAAGAAAAACATGTTCATCAAATGGCAGATGGGAATTATGATAAACAGAAAAGTTTACTTATAGTACTTTTTATATACATCAGGATAAAGTCGGGTATTTAACTCAGCTAGGAAAAAACGCTTTCCACCCGCGGCTTCGCTCGTGTGGAATTTTTCGGTTTTTTATATAACCAATGACACTCAGCAATAATGTGGCTTTCTATTGGTGAAATAATTTTTAAAATCAGTTCAGTAGATCCCGAGATTACCCCTTACAATTTAACAAATATTCAAACACACTAACTTTATCTCTTTATAATATCAGTATAGATGAAAATTGAATTAAGCCTGCGCTCCGCTACAAATAATACAACGTCTCTAAAATTAAATATGCACGCTTGATTATCAAGTAGTTTTTCTCCTATGGCTTATCAGAGAAAAATTCAACTTACTGACGGCAGAAGTAGCTCGTGATTCCAATACAGAATAGACAGACGTATCTTTCTCCAATAGGGAGAAAAAAAAACAACTTATGGCTGGTCGCAGAAGTAGCTCTACATGCCACAGTCTGGAGCGGAACCGCAGAAGAATGTCTAGGCCCTCTAGCTCGAACAATAACTCGCAGTTCTGTCCCAAAGACTTTGGGAGGACACCGTCAGGTTTTAGTCAGTAGGCCCTGCCCATCTGGCAGTGGGTATGCAATTTCATGCATTTCCTGACGAAAAAAAAGTAACTCTAGGTACATTAATTAAACAAAAGACGGAACCTTCACAAAAGACTTGGGACCTAATAAAATTGTATTAATTTTAGTGCTTTTGAAATTATTCTATAGTCTGTGTTTACCAGATCCAGTAGCTTCGGAGCCTGTTCAATTTAAACAAACAAACAATATATTTTTTAAATAAAATAAATGCTTTTCTTTCTTTCTTTCCTCGTTGAAAACGTTGACATACTTGTTCATGCAACATCCATTTATTCATGCCTCTTTTGTTATAGTAACCCTTAGGTAAGTGAATGTAATTACGACAGTCATGCAGATTTTCATGATTTTTACCTTCGTTGTTGAAATGGAACCTGGATCACCTTTAAAGAAAAAATTGTGCACACAGAGCACTCTATGTGCAGCTTCAAACAGTAAATAGTCAATCTAGAAGATGGCCTTTGTAGTCTTGAAAGAAAGTTGAGTAGTTCTCTCGGACACCGCAAGAGGGCGCCTTGTTCCGATACGTGTTAGTGAAGAAAAACACAGTGCATGTGAAGAGATGGCGCTTTTTACAAATGGTAGAGCCAAAAACATATAATTTTTATCGACATATTAAAACTTGTTGCAGAATAGCTAGAAAGCCGTGGAAGAGCCAATTTCAAGGATAGTGTTGGGGATATCATGATTCATATTTTTTAATATCTACGGTGGTAAAAATAGGACATAGAGTACATTATATTCGACGCAAAATCCTGACTAAGAGTCAGTAAGTTTCAATTCTGAATCATCACAACATTAAGTATGTAGATAAATATTAATTTACATAATTGTAAAATGTCTTGTACATTTTAAAATTATATTACCTACGAAACGAGCAGGTGATGAAATTCTATTGTTTGTAAATTATGAAATGCCAGAAAACCTATGATTTCGTCACATCGTCTATTGAAGAAATAATAATATTAAATATACCTACTACCAGTTACCTACTTATTTTTTCTTACATTTTGGCAACTAGGCCACTAAACCAATTGTAGTGATTTTTCGTAGAGACAATTCCCATCTGTAGAAAGAAAACACAAAGTCAGTAAGTATAGGGCAATTTAGTGCTTTTGGAAATACCATGTTTAATTGCAAATAAATGATTATGATTATTATGATTATTACCTATGTTTATTGTGTTTTTGGGGGACGTTCGTATAAAAAAGACATTTCGTGACAGACTGAAATCAATGCGGACGAAGCTGCGAGCTGAAGCTAGTTTGTTAAACCCCTAAAGTTGAAAGGGGAAATCATGAAACTGAATAATTTCCCTAAAAACTTTCGGGACACCTACACCACCAGAATACCTACATACTATCTATTATCTGGAGATTTTCAGTTTCATGAGTAATAACCATCGCTTTTCATCGATGTTATTCCTAAAATGAATCAACAAGATATCACACGCAATGCTTCTCAAAACGCAACAAGTCTGAACATCCCAGCACAGCGCGACCGACGATTGTATTCATTCCGAACAACGCAATCCAACATCAATGTAGTGTCCATTCACCGTTACATACAACTAGTCCACCACAGTCTCAGAACAGTTGCGCCGCGATCCGCACGCCCCCTCGCGGCCGCGCATCAGCTGATCTCACTCACGATTTGTTACACGAAAACAAACATTCTTGAACAACAAAAGCTTCTCAATCAGTGCCCGGTGACTGACTGTGTAAGATTTTACGAGTGCTAGTAAACAGTCAACATGCCGGCCCAGATGGAAACCAGAATAGTCCCCCGGGAGGTCACACCGGAGAGTAAGTTTTGAATAATATTGTATATTCTAGGGGTTCTGTATTCCGGCATGTATTTTTTTAGTAATTTTTTATTTTAAAGAACTTGCCATTAGACATCCTACTTTATTACATTTAAATCAAGATCTGGAATTGATCGATACTTAAATCAAAATCTTAAGACTGAGACTTAAAAAATGCAAAATCTCAACTAATTGAAACAAATAATTGAAAGGAAGGAAATTTTATACTTCTTAGGAATCGGAATATTTTCCGAGGATTTTCCATACGATAAAATCGAGACGGTTACGTTAGTTACCAAGAATGTTATTAAGGTACACAATGCCGAAATATTTTCACTTGGGAGCTATCATTTTTCCTCGACGCTGTGAAGGTTAAGGGAAGGCTCGTAGTTTTTAGTTTACCGGGTACATATTTATTTTAGAGCCTACTTACAAGTCGTTCAAGTCAAATTTAAACAAGTATTGTCAATATACATTCCATAGGTTGTCCCCAAAATAGTGATCGGTCGCGGAATTACGCGTTTTTACAAATAAAATTTTATTTAAAAAAACAAACAAACCAATTTTAAAAATATGTAACATACACTTGGACGATTATATTAACAACTAACCTACCTAATTTACGAAAGTGAGCAAGAACTAAAAGCAAACATTAATAACCAAGTACATTATCAACCTTATCAATAAATAGTACCTAGGGTTTTATTTTAATCTCTGCCATTTAAGTCTAATATATTTAATAAAAAAATAATTACAATCTGTTATAATTAAATCTTAATCGATACAGTTCAATTGAAACCGCGTATATTATTTTAACTACAGGTCTTTAATCAACACGCGAATTTAATTCCAAAGGCCAATGTCGGCTCGTTCGAGCGATGCGGTGGTGAATCAGCGGGTCTACCCTGCATATAGATTTCGATATCAACTCCATAGTTCGTCTCTATTCGTACGTTTCGAAAGACGTTTATGGTCGAANTTTTTGAAAAAATCCTTCCTCAAGGATTTCTAAAACGATCGGTTCTGGTTCTGCACTGCCCGGAGCTTTCCACGACATTCACCAGATCGTCGATCGTTTCCACCAAGTCTCGCAATCTTAGCCTCGGCCTGCCTACTACTACGTCTTCCAGTCCATTTTGAACTATTCCGCTACAACCTATTACAAATAAATAAATAAATAAACGGCCATGAGTTCTGAGCTGGGGCATTAACTTAGTACCTACCTAGCTTAAGTTCTGGAATTAATTATGTCTCTATGTCTATCAGTTATTTTGGTTCTCACACAGATCTTCTCATTTCTAATTCGATCACGTAAATACTCTAAGCACGCTCCACCGCCCATCTGCATAACCCATTGACCTTTCTTATTTATTAGTCTCTATTAGAACGATAATCCCTGAACGACAAATACTTGCGGAATAGGACCCCCATAAGAATGCGAGCGGATAAATTGGAACGTGAACTGAGATGCGTTGCTTTGTTTTGCAGTTGTTTTATATTAGCAAAAAACTCTACTCATTAATTCAAATGTCAAATAAATAAGTAAATACGTATAATGAAGTTTATTTGTAATTAATTATAACTGATTCCAAAATAATATGTAATTCCAATTCACACACGCAAGGTTTCCACGCATTTCGGCGTGTTTTGAATTTCTTACGCCGAAAATACTAATCTTAGGTTGGGTTGCTCCATCTTACTTTAACTTTGACAAACATCAAAAATCTGTCAAACTCCATACTAAACGCACCGGTTATCGTTATAGTTACTGTCAAAGTTACGTGATGCAACTCAGCCTTTTAATCTTGTAAGTAAAAGCGACTGGTCTGATAGTTAATGACATGGGTGGGATAAAGATACTTTGACAATATTTAGCATAGTACGTAAGAATCTGTCACATTTTCAGTAACTGTAACTTACTTGTGACAAGAGTTTAGTATAGTGATTCGGCCCTTGTATAATGATTATAATAAAGGTGATTCAGTAATTTTAAGTTGTATTACTACATACTAGGTATAAGCCTACTACAATTTCTGAGAATGCAAAGATTTAGGTCTTAGTAATTATTAAGTAATGCTGTAAGACTAGTAATACTTACTGCACGCAAATGTCTACGCGATCGTAACTAATGCTTCTCTTTAGGTACTTGTTTAATAAATTATAGTGAGTACTAGTACCAACAAACAAGTCAATCAAAACTAACATTTGGTGGATTGTAGCATTTTATAACAGAAAAATATATGCTCATCCTAACCCTAATTTAAATGTGTACAAAAATAACAATGGCTGGTTTTCAGCATGTTTCGCATTAAAGAATAAAGGCACAAATCTTAATAAAATATGCAAATCCATAAAGGGCTTAGGAGTAACTCGACCTTGCAGTTTCCACTTTTCCGGCTATAAAGCAAGCTTTAATATCACTTAGAACTGTTAACTTTTCCTAATATGACGTATACTTAGGTACATAATAGTTTAATACTCGTCAGTGTAGATTGTAGATATGTCAATATCCTACAACGGATGAGTAGGAAGTAAAATATACCGCTCGTTAATTTTCATCTTCCCGATTTCATTATAGCTCGTAGTAATAGATAATTAACAAACACAATAGCCAACAATGTGACTCCTATAAACAAAGCAATCGATTAATCACCGGCAGATAAATCGATGGATGCGTAACTTTTAATTACGATTGAACAATGACTGTCGCGTGGCGGTGCCTATTTATGTTTCCCGTTTTATATTTCTAGACGAGCGATGCCCGCGATTTCGTACGCGTGAAAATAGTTTGAATTTTCCTTTTCCCATATTCGGAAAATTACTTGATGCTCTGCTTTTATTGGTCGTAGCGTAGCGTAGCATTTATAGAGGAAGATTATAAATAACTAGGTACATCCAAGACAAAATATTTTTTCAAATAAAAACCAGTAGTTCATGAGATTGGCACGTTCAATGAAACAAACAAACTCGTTAGCTTTATAATATTAAGTATATTTAATATAATTAGTACGAGTATATACCTAATAAGAGAGATTTTATTATGAGTAGATATTGTCACGGTTGATGTATAAGGAACCTCGTAAAATAAAGTTGCATTCAATTAAAGCGAGTCTAAAATAATAACCGAGGTTTGATAAGTCACACTCACTCGCATAGTTTAGCATTGAACATGCCATTAATTAAAATTGACTGAGAATTGGTGTTGATTATGTCTTACTTAGTATCGAGTCGGAAATGAGTGATCAATTTAATTTCCATGACCGCCAAGTTCGCGGGCCCGCCATGTGACTGTTGCATCATGCATGATGCATGAAGCTTAATGCAATGGCGTTGTAAGCCCCGCGTGTATATTGAAGTGTGCATGACTTAACTTTTAATACCGTGTTAAGCTAGAAAACAATGGAAGCTTCTACCTTATTTGGCTAACGACAAGGGTTCGAATAAAGTCTCTAGGTATTTATTCAGATACGATTGTCCATTCTGATTGATTTATTACCATGAGTATCACTACTGTTACGAACACAAATTTTACGGTAAGTGGAAAAGTTATAGTACCTATATAATAAGCATTTATATGCGAAAATGTTAGGCTACCCGCCTGAAACCTAGTTTATTACCTACCTAACTGAAAACAAAGTTAGAGCCTTTCACCGAACTAATAAATAGGTACCTGATAAGTCAATATACCTACTGTACACAACGGCTAAAGTTTCAGCATGTAGACGGCTTAGCGCTTGCACTATACAATATTTAAGGCAAAATTGTTAAGGCCGATTTAAGAGGGTTCGAATAGGCTCTAGTATTTTAAAGTTTCATAGAAGTCTGTTGACTAGTTTTTGCACGAAGAAGTCACAAACGTCCATCCATCAATCCTCACAAACTCCTGACATGTAACATTACCTATTATTTTTTTCTCTTGTAATTCTCTGTAAATGTAAATAGACAATATGTTATTACAAACGTTGATAGTTAAATAGTTATCAACAAGCAACCGCAATGTTTCCCTATTGGTCCATGCATATCAGAATCTGACACATGCCCTATATTTAACTCCTACGCAATAACGAATGATTATATTATTGCTGAAATAGGTCAACCGACAAACAAAAGGGCCTGCCGATAGCGCGGTGCAACGTCCACCCGTATCGGTGACCAATACACAATTAGATCATCGAGTTATCACTTAAAAGTAGGTCACATACACTAGGCTGCTTTTTATTGCCCTATAGTTTGTCTCTACAAACTTGATAAGTTTATTTACAACCCACTGTAATAAAACAAAACACATCGTTGCGAGATTCGAATGGCGGAATGCCACAAAACCAAATTCAAATCTTCTTTTCGCTCTAAGTGACAATTTGTAATGGTGGAAAATACATAGTACGAGGTATTGCAATAGAGTAGGTGGCTATATGTATACTTTACTCGTATACTTAACACTAGAGACCATCAATATATCAGTCAGACCATCAAATTATCACTAAGTAACTAGTGTTCAACGCGCGTGTATCTTTTATTAGGGTAAATAGTGCTTATAACAAAGAACTATACAAACAGGGAATTAACACATGACAAAAAGTATCACATGAGCACAAAAATTAAGAAATATTAATATTATTATTTTTTAAATTTCATTGATGTTTTTAAGTATAAAAGTTAAAATCTAGAAAATCTCAGATTTAATAAATAGCTCGAAATGAAAGTAAAACTGGTTAAATAATTACGGCAAGCTAAGCATGGAACTTTCAATATATCATTTAATTACATCACGGAGTTTATCGGTCAAGGATCTTTAACCAACATGGTATTATTACACAAAAAGATCAAGCAATTCTGCGCTATGTAAATAAGTTTAAATATTTTTGTATAATTTTGCAAATACTATGACAAAGTGTATAATTATGCAACTATGGGTGATATACATCTAGGCTAAACTAAATCTAAGATAGTTATAAATATTTTTCGCATTTAAAGTAATTTTGTTGCTTTATAAGAAAGTTT